GTCTGGAAAGCAGCTTTGTGGAGGAGGACCTGGGATCCTGCTGGACACCACTTGAAACATAAGCCAGCAGTGTGTATAAATACCTGATGGGGTCAGGGGCAGGGAGTGAAAAAGACAGAGCCAGAGACTCTTCAGTGGCGCCCAGTGACAGGACAAGACACAACAGGCACAAACTGAAATACAGGAGATTGGTCTTAAATACAAGAAAAAACTTCTTTCCTCTTCTTTACTCTGAGGGTGGTCAAACACTAGAATGGGTTGCCCAGCAAAAGGTTGTGAAGATATTCAAAACTCAACTGAAAAAGATACTGAGCATCCTGCTCTAGCTGACTCTGCTTTAACCTGTAGGGGTGGCCTTGTCAATCTCCAGATGTCCCTTTTGAGGTCCCTTCACAGAACCTCAAAAATTACATGATCTTCTGGTATTTGTGGCTGCCAAACTCCAACATATCTTCCTGAACCTCTCCATTTCATGCCATTTTCCTTTCTTCCTCCTTCAAAGTTTACCCTGACTTACCACATCATTTCTGATTTCTTTCTCCTTCCTGCCTTCCTTTTTTATGCCCAAGACCTTGTCAGACTGAGTGCTCTCTCCCACTCCACCTGCTCTCCATTTCAGAATTATCCCAGCTGGACTGAAATTGTTATTTCAGGAAATATCCTATCTGCTGACCAGAAATATCCTATCACTTAGATAAAAAGAAAAAGAAAAAAAAAAAGGAGTGGAAAGAGGTAACACAACTAAAATTTTCCCACAGAGAAGAATTTTCATATGTGCCAGTGAAAGAAAAATAAGAGAACTTATGCTTTCTCCCATGCTGTTACCCACACATATGTTCAGTATCTGACAAAAAAACCCTCCTGCTTTTCCTTCTAATCCATCCTTCAGTGTTTTCATTTCTTGTTATGCCTTTATCACTTGAACATGTTTATGCTACTGCTCTTTTGAAACACCTGCCTATTACATTAACAGTGTCTATCTCCCTAAGCTGTCTCTCATCTTATGTGTAGACTGTGAGCTCTTTAGGACAGGCGCCAGTATTTTGTTCTATGACAGCACGGGGGTCTCTTAGCTATTAAGACTGTACTAATGATAGACGATCTTGTCTGTGCTTTGGCCCAGATACACACTTTTTCTGTTGATCACATTTTTCTCTGTTTTTAAGAGCTGTTCATTGCATTTAAGGATTTAAGACGTAGTGTATAACATTCAAAAGCAACACCAAAGACTTTGCCATAGTGATGGCTCCCAATGACATGTTTTCCCCCCTTGGAAAGGTCTATTCCTTCTTCTCCGTTGATAACAAATGATCTAACTAATGCTGAATTCTCTGCTGAATGAATAAATAAATAAATAAAAATAGCCCAAATCTTCAAGATCTAATTTGTGATAATGTGGTCATGGAGAGTCCTTTTTAACTTCAAATAGCTTTGGAAAAGATCAATATTTAGACATATGCCACAACTATAGGGATATAATTTTACAAGGATATAATCTTGGACACTCAGTCTAGATTTAAAAAATCCAAGTGCGGGATAATGACTTTACTGGACAGGACATATAGTTAGGATGATAGAACACAGTCTATCTAAATATATTCTGAAAGGTGTTCCTAAGGTATCTGTCTCTACAGCCAAAGTGAAGGGTGAAGCATCTTTATGAGGAAAATATATCTTGGCAGAAAGGAGGAGCAATTTGTAAAGCTATCAAGGACATTTAACAACTTTATGTCAGGGAATATGTATGCATGTATGCTAATATATGGTGAAAATATGAATTTTTATTGTCACCCCTGAATTGGAGAATCAAGAAATATTGAAATCTGGCTTGTATATTACCATAAAGTGGGCTTGTCTTTGGAATGGTCATGCTTTCTGTTTTTCTGTCCTGAGTTACTACAGGTATCACATAATAAGTGGTAAATATAGATGAAAGAAGAATGTTAAATAATAGAACTGGTAACAAAGTTCCCACACGTTGAGAATGGCATTGTCCATTATGTGACTGCCAACATAACTCTTCATGATATTTCATTCCCCCAAAGATTTCTCAAGTTCAAGCCTTCTAATAATTCTAAAAGTTTGTTTAAAGGGGTAAAAAAAAATAGCAACTTTCACAGAATGAAACATATTTTATATTTTCTCCTTAACACATAGTTTAACCACCAGGAATCATTTATGAAAGGTTTTAAGGAGTCCACTTACATTGTGGGTTGCAGAGTCTCCATTATTTATTGCAATAACACATGCTGGCACCACGTCTAACAAAATAGTTCCAGAATAAGCAACATAACAAATTGCTGCTTTAGCTCTTGAATCAGTTTGTATACTGTGTGGTCTTTTTCATAATCTTCATTGCATAGCACTGCAGATTTCCTGGTGACGTGTTGTTTGCTGGAGCTGCTAAGGGTACACAGAACCAGTGAACTGAAGTCCTGACCAATGTGCTGTGACTGACATGTAATTCACCATTTAATCACTGCTGTACATGATATATTGGAGGTGATATGAACATGACGCTATCCTCAGTGTATTTGGGATCAAGTATTAAACTTTAGCAGAGAGCTTTAAAATACTGTGAAAAAAGCTTTTGTTCTGAATGATCACAAGTGCAGGGACTTAGTAACAGAATTTATTTCTAGTTATGAAAGATTGATTGATGAATTATATTCATTAGTACTATTCCCTCAGAACTGCATATTACTATCAGAATATTTGACTTTTACAGCAATCATTTACAAATGTGCAAACTCACACAACGCAGTATATTCTGATGTTATTCTGGCTTTCAGAAACCATTTTGCCCTTAAAAGTTCTATCATGCAAATATAAGACTCAGAACAACTGGAAAGGAAACAAAATCTGATTTATGAAATTTGTAACTTGTCACGTTTAATAGAAAATTTCATTCTTTTGGCTATCCAAAATGTTCTTTTTTTTTTTCTTTCTTTTTTTTTCCCTGCTATGCATACGTGCTTGATTCTACAAAGCATAATTTACACCAGGGATGCTATTCTACTGCCAGTCACATCAATGCTGACCTGTAGTAACCTCATTTGGACAGAACCGGCCACCTTTCTTTGAATGCCACCGGTTGAACAGGGCTTTTGCCAGCAGTTGAATATGGCTCTCAGTATTTTGTAAAATTGTCAGATTTTGGCTTGTTTGTCAATTAACACCAATACGTGTCTTTTAGAATGCCATTAAGGTCAGAACTTCTAACATAGAATACATATGTAAACATGTACATACATATATGTATACACACATCCCATGAAATTAGTCCAGGAAGTCACAAACAATGTGTAAAGCTGAGGAAACTCCTGCATAGGCCACTGCTTTCGTGTGCAACTAGATTTCTGATGTTTTCTTACTTATGCCGATATAAAAACTGATTTGTACTACTGACCTCGGATACAAGACAGTTCATATATCTTGTCAGGGATCTAATTCAAAGCCTGATGGAAAGACTCAGAGACTTGTTTTAAGGCACCTTGGAAAATCCTTCAAACTTACACAGCATAAGATAAAAGCTTTTGAATAATACATTTTAAAGCTTAAAAAGATCTCTTTTTTCTTCAGTTATTTTCTCCAACCCCTAGATCATATTTTGTAAACAATAGATCAGTCTTTCCATACAACATCCCCCTTTCTGTTCTGAACATGACAACAGGTAACAGCAAGAGAAACTTTTAAAGGTATTTGAATGTTTAGAAACACATATATTTTCATAAATAACTTTTGACATTGTTCCTATTCTACCATGCTTCATTTCTTTCATCATAGAAACAAAAGTACTCAGAATATTTTCTTTCTTTCTTCTTTTTTTTTGGTAACAAACACGAAAATAATTTAACAATTGTTTTTTAAAGCCATCCCATTATAATTAGGATATAAATCTCCATAAAAACATATGCTGTCTATAATAAAGGGCTACAACAGAGATATAGATACAGAGAGAGAAAGACATAGAGGTATCTGTCTATAACAAATATAGCAAAGATGTATCTTAAGGAAAGTACTACATATGTCTGCAAGGTACTTTTTTGTTATACTATAATTGGTTAGTGCACATCCATTTACAATGCTAAACTTACTGCATCAGAAGTGGTTCCAAATGAGCAGTTTTCAGCATCAGTAGAAAGGTGTCTGTTGTTTCACAGCTTTGTTTTTTTTGCCGCGGCTGTTTTTGGCTTATTTAGGGAAGAGGGGTTGATTATGACTAAATGTGCAAACTGCATCCCTTCATACACAAAACCAGTCATACCTTGTGAGATACTAGACTACCCTTCAGTGAGTTTACAACCTTTCCCGTACAATAGCCACATATTTAAAATGTGAGCTTAATCAAATCCTGTTGACTTTACCAAATACTCTCATAGATTTTATTTGCAAAGGAGTACCTTTTACCCACACAATAATTTAAAGGATATTATTTCAGTCTGAAGACTCGTTTAAGCAGAATAATTGGCATCAATAGCACTTACCTGACTGTGTGGAATAGAGGTTATACAGCTATTTTCCAGCTCAAAATCATGCAATAGCCATTTTAAAAAAATAATGCAATGTTTGAAATTTATGAAAATTGGTTTTTACTAACAATGCTTTTAAAATAAGAGGCTTCTAGACACAAGTAGTGCAATTTGCTATATTGTGGTTAAAAGAAATGTGCCATATGTAATTATTTATAGAGAGATACTGCATACAGACTAGAAGGTTTAGATCAGTTGATATGTAATAGTTTAGCCACTATAAAAATTACTCCAGTCATGAGTATTGCATTCTGTCCTAAAAGAATGACAAGCCTCTTTTCACTAAGAGAAATTGGTTACATGACTATCATACTCTTACGAGCCTACTGAAAGGACTAAAAGAAATCAATATCACACAGAAAGATGGATCGAGCATGAATCAATGTGGCAAGCACATAACGAAACAGACATGGAGTTAAACAAGAAAAAAACCAAAACAAACGAAACCAACAAAGATTGTCGCTTAACCTGTTTTGTCAGAGCTGGTATTGATGGTATTGGTAGTGATGGAAGTGAAGGTAGTCTTTGCGCTGTCCTTGGTAGTAACAGATTTCTGCTTATTTTTCATGGCTTCCAGTGCTTTGAGCTTCTTGGCATGTTTAGTGCCTTTGTAGTGGGCCGCAGCCTGGCTCTACAAAGGAGAACAAAATGAACCATGCAATCAGGCTCATTTCTAAACTGGCATTCTCTGTATTAGTACAAATACAGACTACCTTTCAATAATGGGTACCATTCACATTATCCAAGTAGTGACCAAACAGAAAATTATATTTAGAATGATGCTCGGAAAACAATGGATAAAATACTCAATTCGATAAATACAGTATATTACTGTATAACAGTATATTACTTTCAGACCAAAATAAGGTTGTTTTAGTTCACCATGCTACCATTAGTTTTTCTACCAAGACTTTTTTTGCTTTTGCATAAAAAAAAAATTAATTCTCAGGCAATGGGGAGGAAGGCACTCTCCTCCCAGTAGCTTTGCACTTTTCCAGTTTCTATTTCAAACTAGAGATTTTGTCAAAGCTTCCTTCAAAGAACAGTTTACTTTTAACAGTGGTATCAGGAACTTCTCAGCAAAGACTGACAGTAAAAAACAAACCAAAAAACCCTCAAACCAAAACCAAAGCCCAAACAAAGGAAAGCAAAACATAGAACACTCTTCAAAGCCCATCACCAAAGATTTAACTGAATGTGAGGCAGACATGCAATTAGCTGGCTTTCTTAAAAAAAAAAAAGGGTTACTTTTGTCCACCTGCTACAAAAGGTAGTGTTTGAAATTCAAAGCCAGGAGCATCCTTTCAAAGAAGAAAGCTCACACAAATCCTGTCACAGTCCCAAATATGTTTGGCTACTTGATATTGTTAAGCTAAAATAGATTTGTATGTGCACTGCTATTAAGATTTATGTATTACACTGAAAGTATCTTTATTATTCTAAGAGTTAATACCAACTTTTCTTCATTTATTTTATGTTGCAAATATATTTTAAGAATAGTATTTGAAGTATAAGATTAAACCTTATATAAAAACCACTGGAATTAGTATGGATATTCAGAGTTTATTTCTTCTCTAATTATTTAAACTCTTATAAGAAAGATAGTCTTTCAGTTGATAAGTTAGCAACCGGAAAAATTCCTTATATTTTCATAGCTTCAAACTTTATTGAAAGCAACTCCTTTCTTACTTGAAAGAGAAATTATTAAGACTCTAGAAAAATAGTCAAAATTTAGCTACTACAGAATTGAACAAATGAAAAGCAACTATGCTGGGTCAGCCCAAGAACCCACAAAGGTCAGTATTTTATTTCTGGCATGAAACAATAGCAGATACTTAGAACACAAAAGAAAGGTAAATGCTTTCTATTGTTGAATCAGAAGAAGAAAAAAACATGTATGTAATTTAGTGGCTACAAACTCAAAGGATCAAAGGGACAGAATGACACAGTCACTCAACTCACTAAGCCACTCATGCAGGTAGAAGATTCCTGCATTATCTGGCATCTGTAAGTCATTAGACCTTTATTTAATGTTATTTAATGTGCTGATTTTCAGGGAGAGAGAAAGTTCTAGTGAATATCACAATAAAAGTGTATATTAATTAATCTCGAGATATATGACTTTCAGCTTTCATGAAAAGTCATGATTCCTTCCAGATGCCTGAGATTTGAGAAGCTCAACGTGAGTAGGAAAGAAGTGAAAGACCTTGTCTAAACCAATAAACACATATATGTGTATGTGCATACATGCATAGATATACACACATGCATATGCTCTTGTATATTGAGATGCATCATTCAGTTTGGTTGAAAAGCCACTTTCTCTATACCTAAAATAATGTAAATATTGTATTAGGTACCCTTATTGAAAGAACACTGGACAGTGAAGTTATTAATTAGAAACAACTTGAACAGAAACAGCACAGTCATGCACCTTTTACAATTCCCAACACATAACATTGAGACATACTGTAAGCCAAACACAAACAGTCAAGAGATGTTAATTATTGTTAAATTGAAGGACCAGTGTCAATTTATGATGATGTATTAAAAATGACATTATACAGTACATCCTCATGTTGCTATCATGTCAACTATTTTTACAGTTTCTAGTCAAATTTAATTATCAGCCAGCTCCACATTCTGACTGCACTTGTTTTCCCTAACTAATAGTGTCATTCTTCAAATATCAGAAAGGTAGTCAGAACATGGTCCTTAATACTGAATTATGAATGTTGATATTAGTTTGATACACAGATCAACTTTCTTCAGAGAACTGTTGGCGGAACACCCCAGGTTTATGTCTCCTGCATCAATAGTTCTCTGCCCTCCAAATTCTCACAGCTACAGCTCCACAAACCTCAACTCAAGCAGAATGTTGGATGCATAAGGAATATACAATGAGGCCCTATGTAGAAACTGGTGACCTTTTCAGTGTTCTGAAATATATGAATGAAATTGCTCCAAAGTAGAAACACATTGCTCAAATTTAGAAGTACAATGGCTGCTAAGCAGAGTTGTCCATTACTCACTTCCCACAGAGCGCTGCCAGTTTACCCAGCCTCTGCTTAAAGAAAATCTTTATGCCTTTTTTATTTCAAAGTTTAAATCTCCATCCTCTGTGGGGACATGAAGCCATCTGAGCTTGTTTCAATATAAGTGTAGCTGGCACATTAATGGTAGTTCTATGTGAGAGCAGACAGATTGCTCCTAAGCATTTAACCAGCTCCAAATTAGCTTATGCTGAACTTTTACAACTGAACTGGAACCCTAAAAAAAAAAAAAAAAAAAAAAAAGTTTGTCATTATCTTTTCTTGCGAGAGTAAGATGGAGGAAATAGAAAAATATCCATAAATATCTTTTTCAGCACAGCAACATAAAATATGGTACCTCACTGAATCACTTCTTGCAGCCCCAAGAGAACTAAAATAATCCTCACTGCTTAAATGGCATTTATTTGTAGCTTGTAAAACTCATTACTTAAATGGTATTTATTTCTAGGTTAAATATAAAAATAAGATAAGATCACAAAATGCAATTATTCCCAACTTTCATGCAGAATTAAGAAATATTGAGAGCGAGCAGAAGAGTGAAAGTCCTACTTTTTGGTGCCAACCACGATGCATAACTGACTGAAGAGACTGTACCCCTTCAGAAAGGTGAGAAGGGGTCTCCTTCTGGAACACTTCAGAGTTCAACAGTTGCAAAACCCAAGATGTTTATATATTTTATATGTTTATATACATGTTTATATATTACCTTACCAAGTTGTGCTCAGACGAGTTATGAGCAGAGGTTACAGGTGAAACCCTACGTCTACAGAAGCTGATGGGAATCAAGGGAGGATTTCCCTCTCCATGTTTTGTAAAGGGGTACTGACTTTTATAATTGCTCATATTGATGCAATATGAGCAGTCCCCTTTGAGAAACAACTGTTTGATCTAAAATCAGATGTTCTCTCAAATGACAGAGATTTGGGACAATCCTAAAGGAAAAATTCTCTACTACTAGAGAACACTTTGTAATCATAGTCAATCAGCTCTCCTAAAAACCCTTTAATATTAAATTCTGTTTCTTTTTATGATTACAAAAGAACACATAGAAGAATACCTTAAGAAAGAGCTTACTTTCTTCTTTCATCATAGTTTCCAGGTTTGCTTCTCACATCATAGTTTCCATGTTTGATACACAGAATTAACCCTAGCACTGTGAAGACAAGTCATTGTCAGCTAACGTGTGACCTAGTCAGTGATGAAACATGAGAAATATGTCAAATATTGCTGGGGCAACATTACAGTGAACTTTAAGAAACTATACCCATTCTTGAAAAAGATGTCCAACAAGAAAGTAAAAGGTAGATTATTACTTTGTATCTGAAGTTGAAAACTCAAGAATCCTTAACTAAATTTTGAGGGCTCTGATTCTGCAAATTACATGTAAACAAACTTTGGTCTATGAGAATTACTTCAAGGAAATGGCAAGATGTCTAAATTTCAAATCACTTTTCAAGGTTATTTGTAATGAAGTCCTGCCTAGTTGTGCAGTACAAGCACCTTCTGCAAAACAAATAATTTCCTCTGTTTCCATGTATTTATCTTCAAGCCTTTCGTTTTGTAACCTTCCCCAATTGTCAAAACTCAGTTGTATTTTCTTTGCTTAAGTGCAATATTGTACCACAATTACTATAAGGACATCATATTACCAAGCAAATTGCAATGTGTAAAATACGATGAGAAAGATTAAATATTTTAAACAATCCAGACAGTATTCTCTTACAATTATAGTTACCACATCTACATGGAAGTCTTCAAAATAAGTTTGTCTGCCTGACTAATGCACTTCAGTGAATCATCTATCTTCTCACTTATGTTCTTTAGGCATTAGTCCAAAAAAACCATTGTGCTTAATTTTGTGAATTGAGACAAAAAAGGGTCTCCTCCTATTCTCAGAGAGTTTTCAGCAGCATTGCATCTTCTATCTTTTTCATATCCCTCCTGGTCCTTCTCATATTACCAATCTTCTTACAGATTGTTTTCCTGCCTCAGTCATTCCTTCTAGGCAATACCTTCATAATAAAAGCCAGCTCAAAGAAAAGAACTTTTTAAAAAGTGTAGTAAATATGTTCCACTGATTCTTCCTCGCAAAAATTCAATCCAATTATCCTGTATTATGTCTTTCTCATTTCACAATACATTTTGAAAGATGTCTATTGTAGAGAGTGCTCTGCTCCATGTTGTCATCTGGCCAATTAGTAGCAAGGCTGCCGTCTGTCTGCACCCTTAGAAAGCCCCAAACAAGGGCTGAGAGTGCTGAGAAGTCCTTTTTGTCTATCTCAGATTTCAGTAGCTCATGTCATGTCTTTGTTTTTACCAGCTACTCGATGCTACCATCACCTCTACTGTTATTCCCAGTACAATAGTAGCAATTTTGGCTAATACATCAGCAACTGATGTCAGGATTCTCCAGAGTAAAAAGCTCTAAAAACAAAAAGTGAGTTTCCTGGTTCACACTAACACTGTCAGTGAGCTGGGCACACATGGAAAGCAATAACACAAAACTGCATAAGCCAAGAGGACTTCTGTCCTTTGGTGAAGTCAGGGAAATTTATGAGATGCCTATGCTACACATTGT